GTATAAAATTTTGATGGATCATTCTTGTTTTGATTTGATGAACTTCTCGATGATTATAGGGCAACCATGTGTTGTTATATAATTCTTGACCATCATTTATATTGTCTATCTCCAATTTAGTCTTGATCTAAGATGTGTTTAGGGCAGTGCAGATTCACTTCCCTAGTTCCCTTTTTAATTGTCTTTGCCTCTTTACTTCTTAGCATTAATGTTTTATGCACTTTTCAATTCATAATCTTAGTGACAATCCAGCAAATTCTCTATAATCCCCTTTATCATTCTAAAAATGACTCTAAACACCTAAGTTGCCATAAACTAACAGTCCCAGTGGTTCGATTTACCCGACCAATAGCCCTATTTTACAATATTTTATGCTATTGCAAAGGTTGATGTATAATTGTCATTCCGATCAACGACTGGAATTTGTATTGAACCTGTATAACTTGCTTGGTTCTTAAATCTAATATGTTGAGCAAGTGTAAAGTGAAGCTTAGGAGTAGAGATTGCTAAGGTTTGAACTGAACTAAGGGGCTATATTGTTGAGTATCTTTGTTGCTGCCTATTGAAGCTTATTTGCTAAACACAAACTGTTTTGGGGCTAACATTGTATTACCTTGCTGAGATCATTGAGGAAGATTTGTGTGCAAGTGTACTTTGGTTATAAAGAGATTTGGAAGACAATTGCTGGCCATTCTTGGGGTTGCATTGTGAAGTTAGCTCATTCCCCTTGATTTTAGAGTTTTTGCCTTTGGAAGCTATTGGTGATCTACCTTGCTTCTCTAGTTGTGTACTTCATTCAAGCAAGTTAGTGGTGTTGCAGAAAAGGCTGTGGAAACCTAGTTTGAGTTGACTTTGAAGCTGTATTGTGATTTGACAGTGGTATCCTTCTTGTTGCAGAAAAGAGGAAGCTAGGGTTTCACTTTGTTTACTACTTAAGGCTGTGTATTGAACTCTCATTTGTTGTAACAGTTTAAGTACAGTGTTCCTATTGTATTGACACATTATTCCAATGTTTGTTTAGCTATTGAGAGCTTATTGGTCTAAGCAAGGGTGCTTAGGACAGGGGGAGTGCAGTGTGCAATTGGTGAGCTAGTGTGTGAGTATTGGTTGTGAAAACTAGTGTCTTTTCTTGTACAAGGGTGTGTGTAGAAAGTGAGATAGCTGAGTGTGTAACAAGGTACTTGCAGCTAGTGGAGGATTTATTGGCTAAGGCCAAGAACCAAGGTTTTTCCCTATTAAGAGGGTTTTCCTTGTAAACCTTGTGTTATGTGTTTGACTTATAGTTGATTGGTTTTGGTTTCATTGTGAAAAAATTTTTACAGACCAATTCACCCTTCCCCTCTTGGTCTAACATATATATATGTCACTTTCTTTCTCTACATCATATATCCACTCATGAAAACATGGATTTGAGCCACTTAGTGTAGGATTTGGCCTTTAAGCTAGTTATCAAAGTTGATCTACAAGTTAATGCCTTCATTTTGGTGCCAATATTGCTAGCATTTGGTGAAATTCAAAAACTGGAATTTAGGGCTTGGGTTGCTTCATTTGAGGTAGGAAAGTCTAAATTACAATTCCTTTAATTTTTATGAGTTTTAGAGTTATTATTGTTTGCAATCATATGTTAAGCATGAAAATATATAAGATATATGTCTTGAAATGTTATTAGAAGTAAATTTCTACGTTATTTTATGATGAATTTGGAAACCTATATGCTTAGTTATGATTAGATGTCATAATTGTGAAAATACATGACTAATTATTTACTTTGAATTGTTTAACAACCTCTTGAGGTGTTGTCAATTATGATGCCATATGTGTTATCTTAAGCTAGATGTTTAGTTTCTGCCATGATTGAAATGATTTATTATATTTTTTACAAAGCATGCTAGTTGTTTGTAAAAAATGCCTCAATATCACATATATATTCCTCTTTATGTGTGGAATACTTGATGATGCTAGATGCTTGATAAAATGCTTCTTTGATCATATATGCTAGTATAATACGAGGTGGTATGATTATGTTGCTATGGTGACCATCCATGAAAACTTGATTAATCAAAAGCACAGTCGCATTCATAGCATTTATCATGGAGTTTGTGAGAGGGATGAGATTGGCAATGGATAACGATTTTATAAAGTTTTGGTAAAAGATAATTTTTTAAAAAATAAAACCAAACGCCATGGTGTTGTCATTGGTCCTTGATTTTCAAATACATGAGGTTCAAAGTTAAATAAAGTAATGTTTTGCAAAAACCGGGCACCATAGAGTTGCCATGGGTCTGTAGGGTTAACCTAATCTAGAGGGAGCGCGGGTAAATTGCCTTGTGTATAATTGAGTTATCTAGGCCCCAAATGGTGCTACGGAGTTGCCGTAGGCCAGGATAGCTAACCAATTTCCCTCATAGTGACAATGAGTTGCCTCGACCGGGTTGTGTTAACAGTTTTTGTTGTAAATAGAGTTGTGTGTGTATGAGTGGAAGGAAGGGCTAATGCATTACATTACATCGCGTTGCATTTTATTATTCATGATCATGGTTCTATATTATAAATGACGTGTTTATTATACTTGTCCCTTCCAATTTGCATTACCCCTTGTCATTCGTTTACATTCTTTGGGTGTGACTCAAGAGATTACAAGGAGTGTATCTTAGACTTTCTTTACTGAGCAGTTGAGTTCAAATATTTAACATTTTCCGGGCATGGAAAGGAAGTGGTAGGTGATACACCTCCACAAGTGTAGACATGGCTAGTGATCCTAATTTTTGACGTTTCTTTTGTATCAAGGCTAGGTGGTTGACCATTTTGTAAATACCTTATTTTGATGACTTGAAGTAAAAACAATGTAATTATGGCCATGACAGTCTCATCTTGTAATCGCTCTCTTTTGAACTACATTTTTGCATTTGGGGCATGTCGATAGTGGTACAAGTATTATTTTGTATTTTAGGCATGTATCTTATGAACTTAATCATATTTTGTATATAAAATGCAAATAAATGGTTTGCAGGGTTTTATGAATACTACGATTCTATGTTTATAGTATTTTCATGCACGCATGCGCTCGCGCGCGCACACACACACACACATATTGTCCCATTGTTGTGCTTGGGACATGTTTGAATTCACAAGTGACCAAGGTTTGATTTACAAAGTCGAATAAATTTAAAAAGTGGTTAAAATTACATTTTTCTAGGTTCGACAATCGGTTGTAGCTAGGAACCCTATGACCGGTCATCCATAGTACAAATTAAATTCCTTACCTAGTTTACTATAGACCAAAGAGTGGAGGTTCGAACGATCCACACACACACACACACGTTGGCATTGTATTGTCCCATTGTTGTGCTTGGGACATGTTTGAATTCACAACTGACCAAGGTTTGATTTCAAAGTCGAATAAATTAAAAAAAGTGGTTAAAATTACATTTTTCTGGGTTTGATGATCGGTTGTAGCTAGGAACCCTATGATCGGTTGTAGCTAGGAACCCTATGATCGGTCGTCCATATTACAAATTAATTTCCTTACCCAGTTTACTATAGACCAAAGAATGGAGGTCAGAACGATCGATCGTAGCTCCTTACGATCGATCGTCGCTTGCATGTTGCGTGCCTGTGCACAACCCTCTCAGGGCACTGGGCGACCGTTCGTCCAATCCCTGCGACCGATCGTAGCTCACTTTGAGTACATATTTTGGAAACTTTTATCCTTGATCTGAGACCTGTTCCAACCACATTGTGCATCTTGCTAGTGGATTGATAAGCTCATCACTTAATAATACAAAGATAAATAACCTCTTTGGCTAAGAGTACTCTCGGATTTGGTTAAGGGTACGGTTACGTGTCACCACCCGTTAACGATTTAGACTTACCGGATTCGGGTCATTACATCTGAGACCACGTGCTTGGACTTTTCAACAAGTCGGAGCTAAATGCATTTTAGGAATCCGAAGTAAAAAAATTTTATAAAATAATTAAAGGATTTAGTTTTTTCACTTACCCAGTTTACGTTTTTGGAAGCCCAAGTCCGAGTCCATGGGCTTTGATTTTTCAACAAGCCAGGTTTAAATGCATTTTTGGAATCCCAAGCCCAGTCCTTGGGCTTGGGATGGCAGGCTGCGGCCTTGACCTACAAGCTTTAAAGGGACCTTTTTAATTTTTAATTTAATTTTCAATATAAGAAATATAGATATAAGATGGAAAAGACCAAAGTGATTATCGAAGGATATAACAAAGAAAGCAAATTTAGTACCTTTAAAGATGAGGTGAATTAGGGCATACGACAATCAACAATGAGTTAAAAATTGGAATTCATCCATGCAGAACACAAATATCATATTATGTTCTGTAAGATCCCATTTAAAAAATTACCCTAACCTGGAGATCGAACAACCTCCATGGAGCAGCAGAACCAAGGAATACCAAATGGCACTCTACTTAGTAGTCAAGAGAGAAAAAATTATCTGCTGCTGACCACTAAAAGTTCCTGAAATAAGATGCTATGTTTTGACATCCATGTAATACAAAATATTTTCCCGTGGATCGATCATCTTCTGCACACAACAGGGATTCATCGAAGACCTTAAACACGTATTCATTGAGGCCGAATAAACCATTTCAAAGTTCAATGCTAGTAGAAGGTGTTCGGTAGCAAATGAAGGCCAAAACACAGGTGGGATAAGACAGAAAGTTACAAAAGCGGGGATTAGTCCAAAAGCAGCTCCCCTGAATTACTAACACAATTAACAACAACAAAAATCGAGCATCCTTATCTTCCTACTTATGATATAAAGCCAAAATCCCTCAACAGATTTGTAGACAAGATTGGATATATAGAGGAATGTTCAAAGCAGAATGAACAGACCAGCCAGACTTATGGCATGCCTTACATTGGCAATCTATGTGGATTCCTAATGGAACACGGTTCTTTATCCATCACCTTAAACCAAAAAACCTTTTCCTCGTCAATTCTCTGTTGCTTCAATCCAACCACAATTGTGTACATCCAATTTAGAATGTAGAATAGCCAAATGCAATTCTTTTTACCCAGGCACATACGACACAAAAATCCAGCTCAAGGCATTCTTTTTGAATGTCAAAAAGTGAACACATTTGGTAAAACTCCCAAAAAATTCATGCCAGAAAATGTTACTAAAAAAAATAAATATAAAAAAGAAGAGAAAAGCAAGGGAGTATGACTATGAACAAAATAAATGTTCAACAAGACAAATAAAAGCCATGACAAACAAAATGGCTGTCTATATCCCTGCTAGCCACTTCTATAGCATAAAATCATTCCCACTAAGAAGATAATACAATTCAAGTCGAGCCAAGTATATACTCATTTTAAAGTGTTAAATGCATCCTACTATGCAACCATCCCCACTTAATGCACTATATTGGTATAACTTGGTCTATTTTATTTTGGACATTCATTTTATGGTGTGTTACATTATTTACATGAGTTTGGTAGCATTCTGGACATTTATCACATTTTAAGTAGAAAGGGGACTTCGTGGAAAAAAAAAAAAAAAAAAAAAAAAGTAGAAAGTGACCGTATATATATAGGAGGAGTAGCGTAGTCTCATTTTGACCACAAAATCAAATTTCTCTCCCCCTTTCTCTTCTATTTTCATGTTAACTGAATCCCAGTCTAAATATGAAAACAAATAATAATAAGATCAAACATAGAAATTGTCGCTAATACTCCCCTGGCACTTAAAATAGGTATTTTGATGCAAGACTGGTTTGACATTCTGATAAGTGGGAACATATATCTTGTCTGCTCCTTCTCTCATCTTTCTTGCAATCCATTTTCTTTGTCAATTAAGACTAAGCTCTCTGTGTAAGTATTGACAGAAAATGCTGCATCATATCCACGGATTCCGAGATATTTGAATGTTTGAGCCTTGATGTCAACTGAAATCATCTCCTCATCTTTTGTCAAAAGAACTTCACCGTTCCTCCTCAACCCAATAACTCGAACACTCCGAGCAGATATTTTAGATTTTTTACTAAAATTAAGATTAAACAAATTAGCCCGTGGCTCCGCAACACCATATTCTTCTCTCAGAGGAAACTCTATACTATAATCAAGATTAAACAAATTGGTCCACGACTCCACAACACCATATTCTTTCATCACCCAGATTGATGCTTTTCGTTTGTAAGTATCACTGTGGAACACACAAAGCGAGTCTTGAAACACCGCAAGAGACAAGCTACGTGCTTGTCTTATACGAGGTAGACTTGTTGGTAGCTCAATCTTATAGAATACTTCAGTACCCAAATTGAATAAAACAATGAACCCCGGTCAATTCAAGCCTCTATAAATCCAATGGATAGCCCCATTGAGGTAGGCATTAGATTGCTCCTCATAATCAATACGAGGTACCGGACCAGAAACACTAATCCTTCTCCAACCTCCCTCTTTAAGAGAATAAATGTCAACCTCCTCAGTGCCACCAGATATATAACCACCAGGTAAATAAACAATTCTAACCACCTTATAGTCATTAGTTGTGGAATCGAATCCGAATCCGAATCCAAGAACACGCTCATAACGACCGGTGATGATGCGAGGTCTTGGGAGTAGAACAAATTTTCTAACACTGGGGTTCCACAAATATAAAGTACGATCCGAAAAGTACATTATGTCATCAATAATGCATACCATGCCATTGCAATAACCAACCATGGTTAAATAGGGATCAAGTCTCGCGATTGGATGACTTCCTTGATTCAAAGGGTACTCAGTGGTGAATGATTCATCGTCGAGATGCAAAGAAAAATGTTCTAGTTCATCATGTTCAGTGTAGTGCTTGAGGAGAAGTAGGTGAGTGTTGTTCATGTTGTTCACGCTGTGTTTTGTCAGATTGAACCAGAAGGTAACAAAATTTTCACTACCGATCAGAGAACACCAAGATTTATATACGCACCTGAATCGAAGAAGAGTTCTCGCTGGTAGTCTTCCCAGAATTTCCGTCACCACTTCGTCCGGTATGTTGTCAGCCATTGTTAACCAACGATTCTAGGGTTAGGGTTAGGGTTAGGTATTTGAAAGCTGCGCTTAAACCCTATAAATAAAGCCAAGAAGGAGAGAGAGATATGAATTGGTTTTATGATATGAGTTATGCGAACCTCAAGGCCCGGGCTCCCTAGAACCCAATGGCGAGAAAAGGGGCAACGCCGGCCACAGCGCTTAAAAGAAGCGGGCCCGCTAGTGCTCGCAGGCCTACCCGTTGGCCCTGACGAGCAGGCCTGTGGTCGCTTAAAATTTTTTTAAAAAAACATTCTTGTTCAAAACGACGCCAGAATTAAGATAGTAATAATTTAATTCCATAATATAATGTATTGTTTTTCGATAAGATGAAAATATAGTCCTTAAAATATAAATATAGCCGATGGTAATATATATATATTATTAAAAAATTATTATTTTTAAAGAGCAAAATTTCGAAGAGGCTATTGTAGTGTCAAAATATGGAGAGCAGAAGCTGTCTACATGACTCTTGAAAAAACTGACATGGCTAATTTAGAGAGCAAAATTTGGGAGAGGAAGATGGGGATGACCTAACTTGATTAACCTTACTACAGTTGAAGTTAAAGAGTGGAACTCTTTTAAATATTTTCATCAATAAATCATTATAGCCATTAAAATTCAAGTTCAATGATCAAATGATTGGGCACTTCAATTCAAGTAAAAATTGGTGAAGCCTAATCCAATCAATTTCATTTTAATCTACATAGATCAGGCGATAAGATGAAACTATATTGAGTTATTTATTTTTGTACGAATTATCAAGAAAAAAAATTCATGATGAGAGGAATGATCCTGTAGGGTTTAGTGTATTTTACACCTATAATTTTTAGTCACATCATATAAACCCTCTAATTAAAGTGTTTAAAAGGTACGGGAATAAAATTTGTTGGGGTCGAGTCACCTTTAACTCTGATCGAGGTAGATAAAAGAACAAAGCTGAAAGCATTGCAATTGTTCGGAAAAAAAAAAAAAGTCAAATCAATAGAAAATGAACTTGTTGTCTACATTATTTTTTTTTTATTTTTATTTTTTATTTTTTTAAAACGGGAAAGAAGATCACCATTCTCTAAAGCCTTTGTAACTCTATATTTTATTTTATTATTAATGAAACAGCAACCCCATTAAAGAAAAAATAAAATAAAATACATGCATTATCAATATATGTCTATATACATATATTTTCTTTAAAAAAGAAGATATTACAACCTTTGGGGGACGGGCGTACAGGCCGGACTGCTGGCCAAGACCTATACTCAGGTCTGTCCCACCATCTTATAGGGCTAGGTCGGGCTAGCCCTCCACGGGCTTAGACCTCCTTGTGGGCCACAGGCCATTTTTGCACCCTTACGATCAACCAATCCCAAAATCAAGCCTAATTTACAAGCATCAATTATTTATTTCATTTTTTTCCAAGTAAGATACCAAATAAAACCTTTTCCAAATGGTTGAAGTCCCCCAAAACCAAAATATTCAAAGTCGCCAACAGAAGAATTAGATATAAGAAATACCGTTTAAGATTAATTAATGATGACTCGAAAATTGGGAATTATCCATAAAAATCCCAAATACCATTTTATGCCTGAGTTATTCTTTGTCTAATTGCTAAAATTGAGCTCATCTTTTCAGCTTTCGATCTATTTTCAACTAAGTTCGAATAATGGGCATAAAATAAAATAAAAACTTGATTCTCTGTAGATTATTTAGAAGGAATGCCCAGACTAGCAAAAGGGAAAATGCAATAGTTTTTAGGGTGAAGTGCAGAAAATACTCCTGAAGTATGCTTACAGTGCATATCACACCCCTCGCGTGCAAAAAACACCCCTTAAGTTTCAATTTGGTGCAATTAGGTCCCCATGACACATTTAAAATCTAAATTGACCAAATTACCCTTATTGAATAATTTTATAAAATATAAAAAAATAAATTTTTTTGTAAAAAGACCAAAAAGTACAATGCTTGACCCTTCTCATCTCTTCGGCAGGGATACGGATCCTCTCCATAATCATCTCTCTCCTGCTTTCTCCAAATCTAAATCTAGGTGCTTTCTCCAAATCTAAATCAAAGGATTAATACAGGTCTTCACTTACCTAAACTACACCATTTTGGAACCAAACGGACCAAACAAACATTTGTACTTCTTTTCTCTCTCTCTTCCTCTTACTTCCTCTCTTTACACTCTGAAACTTTTCTTGCTGATAAACCACACCAGGAGGCAAATTGTTGAACAAAGAGGTTCAAATGGAGTTCTGTGGATTAGAATTAATCAACCCAAAATTGGGACCTTTACAATTTGGTGGAGTTGATGTGAACCAATTATTCTGTTGTCATTGTCATTTGAAGAAATTTATGAACAACTGTTTTGAGGCCGAACGAGGAAATCCACTGGAGAAGAGACTGGTCTTGGCCTGATTCAAACAACAAACTCTCTCAATCTTCCAATCCAGACACCTCTAACCCATAAGGAATTGGTAGGAGATCCACCCCCAATTCATCCTTTAGACCACCAGCTGAGAGGAACTTCGTTACAGATCCCGGACCAGTTTCCAGCGACATCGAAACCGGCCAAATTTGCTGGGGTTTGTTATCAGAAACCACGGCCACACTCGCTGTGTACTCTGTAGAACCAGACCCACAACCGTCACCGGCTTTTTCGCGGCCAAACGATGAGGAAAACATCGACGTCGAAGTTGATGGGCTTGGTTTTCCGAGGTAGACAGCAGCGGCATTCGTTGGTGGGGTGTAGAGCGAGTGTGTAAAGAGAAAAAGTATGACGAGGATGAGAAGAGAGAAAAGAAGCACAAACGTCCATTTGGTCCCAAAATGATGTAGTATGGATAAGTGAACTTCTTATGGCATGTCTAATTATTAACCTTAGATTTAGCTTTGGAGAAAGCAGCAAAGAGATTGTTATGGAGAGGATCTGTATCCCTTCGGCAGACCGCTGCCTCCTCTTCCAGCTCCCCACAAAAAATAATAATAATAATAATAATACTAGTTACAGAGTAATTGTACTCCGGCGAGGCGAAGAGGATATTGTCAGCTTCGAGAATATTCTGTCAGAAATCTACCACCGCCAGCGGGAACCTTCCATCCTTCTCGAGATCGGTGTTGAGCAACGGCTGCGGCGCTATGTCCATGTATTCGATCTGTAAACCGTTGATGGATTCTCTGGATAGCTTAATCGCTACAATCAACAACACAAAAGGATGATCAAAATCCAAATTCAACTCATATGAAACCATAAGAGACAAAAAGTTCACACACACACACACACTCATATATATATATATATCCGCAGAGAGCTGCGACTTTAATGATTGGTTTGGCCGCTGCTGCTTCCATTTCTTTTTCTCTCTAGAATCTTTTCTGCGGCAGCCTTTCAATCACCAGACAGTTCTCCGCTTCAATATATATTCTCCCTACTCATATTATTCTTGCAAATCACTGGTTCATTTATGATTTATATGTAGTTATGTCAACCTTCTCGTTTCTAGAATTTAAGGTGTAGTGGTTATACATTTTTTTTTTGGGTAATTGAGTTTAGTGCTTCTACTGGTTTGCCAAATCTCACACTGGGTCTTTGTGGTTGGGTGAAGATGCTAATTGGTTGTGACAGACCTCATGATTGCATTGAAGAGGATGATTGCATTGAAGAAGATGATTGTATGGGCATTTTGGGAAGAATAAAAGGGCAAAATAGGTATTACAGTAATAATTTATGTCAGATTTTTGACGGAGGGGTAATTTTGCACAATTTCAAAAGATTAGGGGTGTTTATTGCACACTTTTTCAAATAGGGGGTAAAAGTGCTACGAAAAGTATACTTCAGGGGTGTTTTCTGCACTTTCCCCGTAGTTTTTAAGACAACAAATTTAGGCTTCTCTTATTATTATCATTTTTAATTTCACAGCCAGAATAGAATTTTATTGATAAAAAAAAATAGATGCATCAAATTATTTAGCCTAAATATCATCAAAATGAAACTCTCTGCCAGTGACCTGCCGGATCGGGTCGGCGCGGCGCCCCCGCCGCGGGCCGGGGGGATTGACCCGCCTGTTGGGCCAAATCGTTTGCCTGTCGATGAACAAAAATTAAAGCAATCCGAAACAAACTGTTGCTGAAGTAAAATTTTAACAATGTCCACAATCGGTGTACAGATGTGTCGGACTGTATTCGAGTTCGAGTGTAGACAAAAAAACAGTAAAAGTGTGCGTGAATAAGTGCAAAAAAAAAAGGTTTGAGTTGATGCACTCTCAAGCTCAACCAATTCGAAGATCAAATTGTTTTCACAATTCTTCAGAACACAGTTCTCAAAAGTGGAAACACGGAAAAGCGGTGTCCACTTAAAAAATAACGCAAAGCCATTCTCGTTTAAAAGGTTGGCTCGCAGTCCTACTTTCTTCTCTCTGTCTCTCCATCGCTCAACTCTCCGTTCCTCCCCTGTAAAGCTCTCGTGATCCATGTCGATTTTGTTGCCCAATCTATGGTGAATCCGGCGAGATTTCACGAAACATCTGATATGGTTGGGTGATATTTTTTCCTCGGCTTCGTCTTTGCTTTTCATGAATAGATCCCCTTTCTATTCACGATGGTAACGTTTCCTTCTCCTCCTCACGCAGCAACGACAGTTGATGAAGAAAATTAGGCTACAACACTCTCAATTTGGGTTTCCCTAAATTGATTTGCTTATTCCTCTTCTAGTTCGGTTTTTTTTTTTTTTTTTTTTTTTTTGCGTGTAAGATATTTAGGTTACAACACTCTCCATTTGGGTTTCCCGAAATTGCTTTGCTTATTCCTCTTCTTCTTTTTCAATTTTTTTTTAATTCTTTTTTTTTTTTTTTTCTTTTTCAGGTAAGATATTTAGGTTCGATTTGGGTTTCCCTAAATTGCTTTGCTTATTCCTCTTCTTCTTAGTTTTTTTTTTTTTAAATTTTAAATTTTTTTTTTTTTTTTTCATGTAAGATATTTAGGTTACAATACTCTCAGTTTGGGTTTCCCTAAATTGCTTTGCTTATTCCTCTTCTTCTTAATTTTTTTTTTTTTCATGTAAGATATTACGCATATATATATATATATATATATATATATATATATATATGTGTGTGTGTACGACTTGCCTTGGTATGTATAACTTGATGTATCCATTTTAGCTAATTTTGGGGAAATTGGATTTATGTTAATCAAATTGGGCATCTCACGGCTTTGTTTGGCACAATAGGATTTGTTTGGAATGATAGGATTCCACGGGATATGATTTTAGAATGGAATTTATGTACTTACCAAACATATTTCAATTCATGTTCTCCAGTAGTACACATAAAGGTAATTATTTAATATTACCTTTTAAGTAATTAATTTAGTGTTAGTCCAAAAAGTCCAAAAAAAAAAAGAAAAAAAGAACGTATCATTAAAGTTGTGCAAATAGACAATAAATAAATAAATTTTTAATTGCAATTAACTCTTATTGTATGGCTTCTGTTTTTGAATAATAATATTATTAGTATTGATTTGTGGTAGAAAAAAATAATTAAAAAAAAAAAAAAGAAATTTTGTGAAGATTTTTCTGTCTTCTTTTCAACTAGATCTAATCTTATATTCCATTAAAATTTTCTTGTATTCCATGAAGGACTTTTGTGAAGAATAATATAATAATATTTACATAGTGCAATCCTCAATTTGGATATGCTATCAAAATTTTTCTTGGTTGTAAAATTATGTGAATTTTTTTAATTTATTTTCTTAGTTTAGAAAATTATTTTTAATAAATACAACCAAGTAGTTTTATGAGTTTTTATTTTCCGGAAACTGTTTTGTAAATTCTCTTAACCAAGCAGGTTTGAAATCTGAAAAAATTAAAAGTTGTTCTCTAAAAACTATTTTTGAGAACTGTTCTTAAGAATTGTTCTCTAAAATACAATCCAAGCGAGGCAACTTTTTCTTGTTCTTCAAAAACTGTAACTATGAAAACTCAATTCTCCAAAAACAATTTTTGAAAAACAGTTCCAAGCAGCTCAATTTTGCAGTTTTGGGTTTTTTGTCACTATGAAAACAGAAAACAGTTTTCATAATGACAATCCAAGCAAGGCCAATTTTCCTCCATTCTTGTTTTATTTATTTATATATTTTTCCAAAGGGTTGAAGTACTCCCAACCCAAAGGGCGTTTTATTGATTTTCCTCCATTCTTTTTTCAACCTCAATATAAGAACTATAAATAAGATGGTAAAGACCAAATATAACAAAGAAAGCAAATTTGGTACCTCTAAAGATTAGGTGAATTGGGGCATACGACAATCAACAATTAGTTAAAAATTGGAATTTATCCATGAAGAACACAAATATCATATCATGTCCTAAAGTTTGAGCAACTGGGATCTTTTGCCCAATTGCTAAAATTTAGCTCATCTTGTCTTTCGATGTAATTTCAACCGAGTTTGAATAACATGCAAATAATCAAATAAGTTTTTTTTTTTCTTAGTTGATACTCACACACCTCCACTAAGGTTCGAACTCCTAACCTCCCTTTAAAAAGTAAGGGTCTGGTACCGCTAAGCCACACGCCTGTTGGTAAGAATCAAATAATTTGATTCACATCATATAGTTAGAATGAATGATGGCAATAAAAGAATAACTTCCTTCAGCTTGTCTATACTCTATTTGAAAGGCAAGCATAAGTTTCTATATTACAGTTCATGACAGTTCTCTAGTTCTGCAAGATCCCATCTAAAAGATTACCAAAACCTACCTAGAGAACAACCTCCATGGAACAGCAGAACCCAGGAATACCATATGGCACTCTACTTAGTAGTCACAGAGAGGAAATTATCTCCTGAACAATCTCCAAGTATGGCACGAGAACTGCAAAACTCCACCCCCAGAAGCCACAACAGCGTTGGCAGGCTAATATTTGTGCAACTCAAGTATAGAAAATCAGAAGGCACTACAAGATCAGCTGCTGACTGCTAAAAGTTCCTGAAATAAGATGCTATGTGCAACACACTACAAATGCTACATTTTGACATCCGTGTAGTACAAAATATTTTCCCGTGGATCATCTTCTGCACAACAGGCATACATCGAAGACCTTAAAACGCGTTTTCAGTGAGGCAGAATAAACCATTTCAAAGTTCAATACTAGTGGAAGGTGGTCGGTAGCAAATGAAGACCAAAACGCAGGTGGGATAAGACAGAAAGTTACAACAGCAGTGAATGTTGAGTATTCACTAGCAGGGATTAGTCCAAAAGCAGCTCCCCTGAATTACTAACACAACAACAACAACAAAAATCTAGCATCCTTATCTTCCTACTTATGATATAAAGCCAAAATCCCTCAACAGGAACTTGTAGACAAGATTGGTTATATGGAGTAAAGTTCAAAGCAGAATGAACAGAACAGCCAGACTTATGGCATGCATTCATTGGCAATCTAACAGCAGAAGCAAAAGGCACCAAACTCCCAACGTAGAAATAGAAGCTTCCATGAGGATAAACCTTCAACTGAAGCAACTATTTAAAACAAGGAAACTTAAATAACAGAAACCACGCATAAGGCAGGCATGACAACCATACGACAGAACCACTTTAACAATTGCAACACGGTAAAAAAATTATATCATACTATGCACTATATTGGTATAACCATAAACCACCACATGTAATATTCTCCCCACACTATGTGCATTCCTAAAGGAACGTGGTTCTTTACCCATCACCTTAAACTCACAAACGATTTCCGTGTCAATTCTCTGTTGCTTCAATCTAACCAGAACAATATAAATCCAATTTAGAATGTAGAATGGCCGAATACAGTGCTATTTACCCAGCCACATGCAACACAAAAATCCAGCTCAAGGCATTCTTTTTTAATGTCAAAAAGTGAACATAAGATGCTTGGTAGAACTCCCAAAAAATTCATCCCAGAAAATGGCATTTAAAAAATATAACTATAAAAAGAAAAGTAAGGGAGTATGAACAAAGCACATTTTCAAGATGGAATATAGAAGGCATGACAAACAAAATGGATGTCTTTATCCCTGCTACCCACTTCTATCATATAAATTCATTCCCATTAAGAAGAGAATAAAATCCAAGTCAAGTCTCATATGAGTTGAATATTAGCCATAAATGAACCATTCGTCGAGCTAAGTACATCATCATTTTAAATAAAGAGTTAACTGCATCCCAGTCTAAATAAGATACTAACGATATGAAAACAAGTACTGAAACCAAATAAGGTAACAAATAAGATCAACATTGAAACTGTAGCTAATAAGCCACTAGGACTTAAAGGAAGTATTTTGATGCAAGGATGCTATGACATTCATATACATGTCATAGAGGAACAACTAATAGAAACACTGATAAATGGGAACATATATCTTGCCTGCTCCCTTCTATCATCCTTCTTGCAAACCACTTGCTTTGTCAATTAAGACTAAGCTCTCTGTGTAAGTATTGACAGAAAATGCTGCCTCTCGTCCACTGATTCCAAGATACCTGAATGTTTGAGCCTTTATGTCAACTGAAATCATCTTCTCATCTTTTACCAAAAGAACTTCACCATTCCTCTTCAACCCAATAACTCGAACACTCAGAGCAGATCTACTACTAAAATAAGTAAACAAATTGGCCCATGGATCCACAACACCGAATTCTTCTCTTAGAGGAAATTCTCGACTATAATCAAGATTAAACAAATTGGTCCACGACTCCACAACACAGTATTCTTTCATCATCCAAATTGACGCTTTGCGATTGTAAGAATCACTCTGGAACACACAAAGTGAGTCTTGAAACACCGCAAGAGACAAGCTGCGAGGTTGTCCAATTTGAGCTATACTTCTTTGTAGACTTGTTGGTAGTTCCATCTGAGAGAATACTTTAGTACCCAAATTGAATAACACAATGAAGTTGTGACAATTCCGGCCTCTGGTAACCCAATGGATAGTGCCATTGACATAGGCATGAGATGGGTCACAATCGATACGAGGTACCGGACCAGAAACACTAATCCTTCTCCAATCCCCCTCTTTCAGAGAATAAATGTCAACCTCAGTGCCACCAGAAATATAAACAATTCTAACAACCTTATAGTCATTAGTTGTGGAATCGAATCCGAATCCAAGAACACGATAATAATCGAAGCCGTGTGAACTGCAGGTGATACGAGGTCTTGGGAGTACAACAAATTTCCTAATAGAGGGGTTCCATAAATATAAACTACAATCCGACAAGGTCAGTCTATCATCAGTAACGCATACCAAGCCATTACAAGAACCAAGCATGGTTAAATAGGGATAAAAGCTTGAGACTGGACGATTTTCTAGATTTACAGGATACTCAGTGAGTGATTCATCATCGAGATGCAAGGAAAAATGTTCTTTTTCCTCACTTTCAGTGTAGTGCTTGAGGAGAAGTAGGTGAGTGTTGTTCAAATGTGTAGTACGATTGAACCAAAAGGTAACAAAATTATCACTACTGATCAGAGAACACCAAGATTTACATACGCACCTGAATCGAAGAAGAGTTTTCACTGGTAGTCTTCCAAGAATTTCCATCACCACTTCGTTCGGTATGTTGTCCGACATTGTTGACCAACGATTCTAGGGTTAGATTTTTGAAAGCTACGATTAAACCCTAGAAATAAAGCCAATAAGGAAAGAGATGAACAGATTCTAGGGTTTTTGAAAGCTGCTATTAACCCTAGGAGGAGAGAGAGAGCAAGGAAAAACTCTGAAAAGTGAAAGCAGCGAGTGTGAGTGCGTGACAGAGGGAAGAAAGTCCTAATAGTGTTGACATCGGTTAAACGACGCCGTGTATCGAGCAGAGGGAACTAGTTTTCAATTACAACTCAATTAAAAAAAAATGGGTTAATTTCATTAACACCCCTGAGATTTGGTCTAATATCACATTGAAATATATTTGAAAAATAACTATAACTTAAGTCTAATTTTACTTTTCCGTCACTGACACCATTAAAAATATTAGCAAACCTATGATATGATACGCCATGGTCGGCGAAAACAACAAATTGAGGGGAAACGAATATGGTGCCGAGCTACAATTACAAGCATGCAAACGGTAGTGGCGATAATGACATCGAAACTACAATTGAGCCATAGAAGCCCACGGTAACAGAACAATGTTCTGAGAGTGACGTGGATCTACCGAACGCAGTCGGGGATGACAAAAAGGATGCTAGGAAGCGGCGGAGCTGCGCCGCCTGAGGGGTGGTGATACTTCTCTAAGGTGTGGATTTGTCGAATGTTGTTGGTGGTGGTAATTGATTGGGCCATTGGTACTTCAATCGGCACAAATGTAGCTTGGTTTACAAAATTGCCAATATGGAGGTGGAGGTGGAGGTGGCGATTCACCGAATAAGAGGGGTTCACCGATGAGTGGTGGTGATATGATGGGTTTTAACTTAGAACAATTGATTCACACACTCTATATATATATATATATATATATCCTCTCTAAATATATCTACACAAATTACACACACATATATACACTGTTAGTCTCGGTGGTTGTTAAAGATAAGTTATAAAGAAAGAGTGAGTAGAGAGAGTGTGGTAATTGGTGGTAGCCGACGACATTGATAGATGTTATATTTGTGATACCCCCCGAATATTCGAGTGTGGGTTAGCTAGGCCCACGCTCGAAGACCCAGGGTGGTTGTCGCACTCCGAACCCAAAGTTTATGCAATGTGGTCAAGTTTTACATTTAGAAATTGCCACTACTACCTTTTACTAAAAATATAGTTAGGGTGAGTAGGGATCGTCCCAAGGGATTGAGTGTCATACTAGGTTGAGGAATCAAAATTAGGGTTAGTAGGTCGAGTGATCAAAATAGTGGTTGATTGTTTGAATTAAACTAGATGTAATTAAATTAAAGTAAGCAATAATGCAATAGAGAGAATAAAAGAGAGAGAGAGATCTTGGGGTTTAGAGATCACCACTAAGGATAGCTTTTCTACACTTTTAATGAATGATTAATGAGGGGAAGAACATGTATTGCAACAAAGTGTGTGTGTGTGATTGTTTCAACAAGCATGGATGACAAATTAAGCATATATTGTCTAAACAACATGGTGGATAGCACAACATATCAAATTAAGTCATTAATCATTTCTTTAAGCTCACAATCCAAACACATCACAAGGTTAGAGATACATGTTACTTACTTTTCATAAGTATGGAACATCAACAAGTATGGATTGTCCTCCCATTGAACAACTACACTACAACTAAGCTGATGGCATGAAATTAAGCTAATTAAACTAAGGGAAAAGTACAATCCATCAAGAAATGAGTATGAACCATTAAATAAATCACAAAAACATGACATTAAGCACTATGTCTTGATAATCTCTAGATCTATAGCATCAACACACATAGGCATGCATCAATAACACAAGAAATAGAGACAAACACATGAACATCTATTCTAGCATACATAGACATATGGATAGAATGAAATGATCAATTGGAAGCATTAAACCACATAAATCATTGAATATACAAGATCTATATATATAAAAGTGTCAAGACATGAATCATAATACAAATCCCCTCAAAAATACATAAATCAAGAAGTAGAAAGCATGCTTAGGGCTAACTTTAGCCCCAAGAGGATGTCTAGCCACTCATGGATGATGTCCTCCAACCCTCAAGGGCAAGCTCCATGGAAGAAATTTGCTCCTTGGTTGATGAAGAGCCTCCAATGGTGTCTCTAGCCTCCTCCTCTTCTTTGCTTCCTCCTTAAGAGTTCTACAAGGTATGATATGATATGATGTAAAAAGTAATCCTTATCCTTATATAGGTAGGTCAAATGACACCCAAAATGAGCTGGGGTCGTACAGCAAATATTCCTCAATGATTGGATAAATGACAACTTTTGTGAGTTGGAAATTTAACTTTTTCGCACTGGAGGAAGTTCGATCGATCGAACCTTAGACTTGGATCGATCGAACATGGCTGAGATCTATCGAACTTAGGCTGGATCGATCCACGATGGCGGTGCCTTTTTAGATAAAAACAAATCTAAGATATTTTGAAGATATTTTTGGAAAAATGACAAAAGCGGTTGATAGGGTGGTACAATTGGATAAGATCAATCATTTGGATAAAGACAAGAATGTTCGATCGATCAGAGAAGGAAGTTGGATTGATCGAACTTTTGAGATCTTTGAACAGGGGTAAACATGGCTCAGATTCATCTTGAAGTGCTGAGATCGATGAAAGTTGGATCGATCAAACTTTTCTTGAGATCGATCGAAGTTTTTAAAATTCCACCATTTTCTTCATTTTGCTCCACTTTGCTCCTTTCTTTGATTCATCCCAGAATTGCTTCAATTATGCTTTTATTTGGCTGAGTTAGCTTATTTTGAGGATAAGTACCTGAAAATGGAAATAACACGAAATCAATACAAGCCGGTAAAATAAGATAGATAAAGGTCCTAGAATACCTAAGCTTAAAGGGTTTAAATACGCACTTTTTAGCGCTCATCACACCCCCAAACTTAAATATTGCTAGTCCCTAGCAATGAACTAGAAAGTAAAGGAATGAAATGAGCAACTATACAACTATGAACTAGAAAGCAATAAATGGATAACGCCACTTTCGTAGGGAACACAATTGCACTTAGCATATGCAACAAGCCTTTTAAACCCCTAGGTTACCCCTAGTGGACGAGTGAAGTCTCGTGAGGGTTTTCAGAAATGATACCCACAAACATTAAGCTCATTATCACAAAAGATGCAACAATATTGCAAACAAGCATTGGGAGAAAACTACCTCAAGTATGCAATTTTTTAAACATTTCTAAGCAATCTCCCAAAATCTCAACATTAAGCAAGCAAGTATGGTCCTCCACACATTAAGAAAATGATCATGCAAATCAAAACAACTCTATAATCCTTTTTGAGTGGACCGACATCAAATATGTTGGTATCTTAGCCAACTAAAGAAATGATCACATCCTTACCCTCAAATTAGCGCACAAATCTAGTACCGATCATCAAGACAAAAAGTGGACCTTTTATTTAAGCTTTATTATTCTAGGTACGCTTATTCTTTTCACTCGATTTTTTTTTAAATTTTTTTTAGGATCAAAGATGGAAGCATGGTACAATGTGTTGATCTATTAAGTTTTCTAGCGATTCATGAGGTCGAGCGTTAGGTTAATGACTCCTAAACCAGATGGCTTTAGGGCACTAGGTGTTTAAACACTCCTACGGACTTACAAGCTCGAATCAACTAGGCTACAAATTAAGACAACCTCTATCTAATCATTTCCCACTTCTTACCTTTTTGGGAGAAGTCCTCACTTTTTATTACTTTTGCAACTTTTTTTTTTTTTTTTTTTTAAATTCAATTATTAACCTAGAGTTTGGGCCCTCCACCTCTCAGCACGAGAAGTTCAGTGCTTGATGAGGCTAGAATCCCGGCTACTTAGTGAAAAGGGATTGTTATCCACCTTTATCAAGAATGAAAGTTTTCAATGCACTACTAGTCCAATTGGGATATAACCAATTCAATAATTAACAAAGCATGTACCCCATAAATGAATGCTAGTGTGCGCTTATGCTAGTGTAGAATCCTAAAGTGAATGTCAAAACAATCACAAAATCAGGATGATGTGGACCACTAATGCAAGCATGATATCAATTTTTCAAAAAAATTACTCCTAAATGGAGTCCACAAGGCATACAAGGAGTATTAAACTCTCAAGTCAAGCAATTTTTAAATTTTAAGCAATATAGTCCTCAAAAGATCAAAATCATAGCTAGTCATGGACCAATCATAGAAAATCTCTCAAATACACAAGACATGCTCAAAATTTCTCAAATAAAAACAAACACTGCAAAGCACCATTACTCCCAAACTTAAATGGCACAGTGTCCTCAATGTGCAAAGAGAACAAAAGTAAAGAGTATACCAGTGCAATTAAGGCAAAGAATGACTGGGACTGAAGTATCCAAAGTGGGTGGCATAGTCCCCCCCAAACTTGGGATTAACTGTGGTCCTGAAATTTGGCACTCGGATAAACTCATCATATAATAAAAGGGATAATAACAGTGCACAGTGGACATGAAAGTGTAAATGGGATAGCAACTGAAAATTAGAGAGAGGTAAAAGGGTGGTCCTGAAAATTTTGGGCAGTACTCTCTCTCATTGAAGTCACTGAGATGCACCTGATGGAGTCAAATAGACAGATATAAGAATATAAGAATATGACATCCATAAAGAAAGCATATATATAAAACAGGATAAAGTGTATAGTACATCATAAAATCAAAGCCGACAGATTGGCTGCAAAAATAGTATACAGTAACAAAAATGTAGCAAGTATCACAAATATCAAGTATAATAAGGAAGAGGGACTGGGAATCTCAGGTGGATGAGGCAGGGCGGGCAGGTCGTGCTCCGCAGATGTCTCGAGATAGATCACGAAATGCGGCCATGACATCCGTGTGGAGGGAAGCAATGTCAGCTCTGAGGGCAGCAGTCTCTACGCGGATAGATACCACTGTGTCCTCCAGAGTCTGAAGACGCTCTCCAAAATCGGGTGTCTGAGCTGGAGCCTCAGGTGTGGCTGGATCGGAAGAATGATGATCCTAAACTTGCTCCGCATCGTGAATGGGTGACTCAGCTGGAGAGTGCTGCTCTGCGTCCTCGACAGGCTGCTCTAAATCAATATCTATATGTACGGCAGTCGGATCGACTGCTGCGTCGTCCGCTGCCGGGTCTGCTGCCGCTACTGCCT